TAAAACAAACTGTAAATATTAAACAGTGAGACAAAGCTACTAATCACATAACTATTGAGTTGAACAGGCATTTTTCAAAAAAAGAGTTACAAATGGTCAATAAATATCTTTAAAATATGTTTACTATCTCTAGTAATCAGAGAAATGCAAAATAAAACTCCTTTGAGATTCTATCTCACCACAGTGAGAATGGCCACTATTGAGAAAACAAGTAACACAAATGCTGATGAGGTTGCAGGGAAAGAACAACAATTATTAACTGTTGGTGGGAGCATAAGCTCATGAAGCCACTATGGAAATCAGTGCAGAAACTCTTAAAAAAAAACATTAAAACCTCCATTTTACCCATCTCCTCCAGAAGGCAGTACATGCTTTGAATCAGAGTCTCATATATGGAACTGTTTCTCCTATAGCCATGATTCAAAGGTTCAGGAATCAAGGGGTGGAAGTGGAATGATTCCACCCACTAGCACTCCTAGTGACCCACTAGGAAAATGTTTGCTTCCTGTACTCAACTTTGAGCTCTACTGGCTTAGAAATTTTGGTTCCAGAGGAGGGAGTGCTTCTGCCAGGAGAGACAACAAACGTTGCGTTGAACTGGAAGCTAAGACCTCCCCTTGGCCACTTTGGGCTTCTGATGCCCTTAAGTCAGCAGGCTAAGAAAGGAATAACAGTATTAGGAGGGGTGATTGATCCAGACTACCAGGGGAAAAATGGACTTGTTCTCCACAATGAAGATTATATCTGGAAGGCAGGAGATTCCTTAGGGCGACTTTTGGTGGAAATGGACTGGATCTCCACAATGGAGGTAATGAAGATTGTATCTGGAAGGCAGGCAATTCCTTAGGATGACTTTTGGTGTTACCATGTCCTGTGATTAAAGTCAATAGGAAACTGCAACAACCCAATCCAGACAGGACAACAAATGGCCCAGACCCTTCAGGGATGAAAGTATGGGTCACTCATCCAGGGAAAGAGCCAAGACCTACAGAGGTGCTTGCTGATGGTAGAGGAAATACAGAATGGGTCATAGAGGAAGGTAGTTAACAAATACCAATTTAGGCCACGTGACCAGTTGTAGAAACATGGATTGTAATTGACATCAGTATTTTTGTCCTATTTGGTTAAGAATAGGCTTATTTGGTTCAGAACAGACTTGTGCATATATACACGTATGTTAAGCAGATACTTGTGTTCTTCTTTTTTGAATGTGTAATTGAGATGTGTTAAGTGGTTAAGTGCTGTGAACCTATATAATCATATACGTTATGAGATACTAAAGGACTAAGCATTCCTCAAAGACCTTATCACTTATTCTAAGATATGTAATGCATTGGTCATTGTATGATGAGGTAGTCACATCATGTTAGGGGAAATTATGACCTCACCATTGTTTTCATTTGAAAATTTGGGTGTCAAGTTGACAAGGGGTGGACTTGGCGATGGCTAATCCTAGGTGTCAACTTGACTGGATCTGAGATTAACTGAAATGAGAGAGATCTTCTTGATTGGATCAACTGAAGCTGGAAGACACACCCTAAATGTGGGTGTTACCTTCTGATGGCAGCTGTATAAAAGGCCATGGCAGAAGAGAGTGCTTGCTTTTTGCCACTTGCCTTCTCTCTCGCTGGTGAGTTCATCTTACTGCTGTAGACTGAAGACTAGCTGCTGTTTTGGAATTCATCAGACCTTCAGCACCAGATTGGAACTACTGAGACACCCAGCCTCGTGGACTGAGAGACTATGGATTCTCAGCCTCTCCAGTGTGGTGCAGCCATTGTTGGACTACTTGGACTCTATCCTGTGAGCTAATCCAACAAATCTATATCTATATCTATATCTATATCTATATCTATATCTATATCTATCTATCTATATCTATCTATATCTATATCTATCTATCTATCTATCTATATCTATATCTAATCTATATCTATCTATATATCTATATGCTCATTCTACTGGCTCTCTTTCTTTAGAGAACCCTAATATACCATCTATATCACTCCTGAGTATTAACGCAAAGAACTCTTTTTCCGGCCACAAATACACTTCACATCAGTCTTGACTGTAGCTCTATTCACAGTAGCAAGGAAATGGAATCTGCCTGGATGTCCCTCAACAAATGAATGTATAATCCAAATGTGGTACCTTTAAAAAGTGGAATTCTACTGTCATAAACAAAATGAAATTATGAAATTTGCAGGAAAAATAGAACTGTAAAATATCATTTTAAGCAAGATAGCCTAGGGATACAAAGACAAACACAGTAGTCTCTCTCATACATGCATATCTTAGCCTCTAACTATAAATATGCCTATCCAGGTGGCAGTGAATATGGATAAAGACCAGGAAACTAGAAAGGGGCCTATGTGACTGGAAAATGGGGCTCTAAAGGGATGGGGTCAGGAAGAAAATAAAATGGAAGGGGGAATATTAAAGACAATGTGATGGCCATGCCTAGGACCTGGGTGGAAACTGAGGCACTGGCCCCTACTGGTGCCAACATGAGGAACAGCTGCACAGGGCTTTCCAGCTGGGGTGAGGCACTCAGGTATGGGTTTTCTGTAGTGAGGTATTTCTGTAACTATGTATGGTATAAAGCTGTAATTATTTAAAATATTTGTTAATTTTTATTTTAAAAATGTATAGGAGAGAAGGGGGTTGTATTAGTCATTTTTCTGTTGCTGTGATAGAAACACTGACCAAAGCAATCTATAGAAGGAAGAGTTTAATTGAGCTTATGGTTCCAGGGGAATTACAGTCCGTCATGGCAGGGAGACATGGTGGCTGGAGGTGGCTGGAGCAGGAGCAGCAGAAGCTAAGCTCTCACATCACACAGGCACAGGAAGCAAGAGAGCAAATGGAGACCTGGCAAGGCTTAAGAACTCTCTAAGCCCACCCCCAGTGACATGCTTCCTCCAGGATAGCCATACCTTCTAAAACCTCCCCAAACAGCATCACTATGTGGACACAAAATGTCCAAATATCTGGAGCCTATGGGGGACATTCTCATTCAAACCATCACATTCCACCCCCTGGCTCCCATAGGCTCATGACCATATAAAATGCAAAATGCATTTAGTTCAACCTTAAAAGTCCCCATAGTCATTATCAGTCTCAGTACTATTCAAAAGTCCACAGTCTCTTCTGAGATGCAGGTAAATATCTTAACTGTAAGCCTCTATAAAATCAAAAGACAAATTACATACTCCCAACATACAGTGGAATCGAAATACACATTACCATTCCAAAAGGGAGGCATGGAGGCATGGTAAGGAAATACTGGACCAAAACAAGACCAAAAATCAGCAGGGCAAACACCAAATCCAGTAGCTCCATGTCCAACTTCTGGGACTTTACTTCCAAAGGGCTTAGATGGCTCAGCCTCTCTAGCTTTGCTGCATGCAACACACATCTCTCTCTTGTGCTGGTACCACTCCCTGTATGCAGGTCTTCTTGTCAGATACCTCACAGCGCTGACATCAGGGACTTCTTGGGGTCTCCATTGCCAACCAGGCTTCACCTTCACAGCTTCACGCAATGGCCTATCAGGGCCTTATCTAGGCAGGGGAATCCCTGCTTCATACGGCCTGGCCTCCGAGGTTGTCTGAAACCTCAGAGGAAGAATTAATGACCCCTTCACTCTTCCATCTTTCATGTCTCTAAAGCCAGCACCGGGTGAATGACACTGCCAAGTTTGACTGAAAGTTTGGGGTGGACTCCAGCCTGCTTTATTCATTTTAGAAACTTTTCTCTTCCATGGTCCCTGCAGCATTTTCCTTTCACAAGCTGGAGGCTTAACTGAGTGTGGTCTTGACCTGGAGGCACTCTCTCCACTGTTTAAGTCTGAATCTCTAGGCCCCTCCTTAATCACTTTAATCTCCTTATCAATGGGATCCTCTCCATCACATGACAGGGCTCCAACATTTATCTTCCTAGTGTTCTTTTTTATTCCAAACTGTATTCCTTTCTGCCCCATTTGCTCTCCTTCACTGTAGATCTGCATAATATTCACCATTAATAGCCATGCCACCATTTCTACATTAGGCTGTCTTGAAATTTCTTCTGTCAAAGAAATTAGTCCATTACTTTTCAACTTAGCCTCAGGCAAGCTTTTTGGTCTAGGGCAGACTCCAGCCAGACTTTGCCAAAATATCCCAATTGCTGCTAAAGTCCTTATTTCCCTCTGGAACTATATTGTTCTCAGCTCTGCTTTCTTCCAGGCATTTACTAGAATGGCCTGTTAAGCTCCACTTACAGCAATCAACTGCTTTTCTGGCCCAAACTTCCAAAGTCTTCCACATCCCTCCAAAACGTCACATTGTCAAGTTCTTCACAGTCAACAGCCCACTCTCTGGTACCAATTACTGTATTAGTCACTTTTCTGTTGCTGTGATAGAAACACTGACCAAAGCAATCTATAGAAGGAAGAGTTTATTTGAGCTTACAGTTCCAGGGGAATTACAGTCCATCATGGCAGGTAGGCATGGTGGCTGGAGGTGGCTGGAGCAGGAGCAGCAAAAGCTAAGCTCTCACATCACACAGGCACAGCAAGCAAGAGAGCAACTGGAGATCTGGCAAGGCTTAAGAACTATCTAAGCCCACCCCCAGTGACGTGCTTCCTCCAGGATAGCCATACCTTCTAAAACCTCGCAAAACAGTGCCACCGTCTGGGGACAGAATGTCCAACTATCTGGAGCCTATGGGGGGGGGTATTCTCATTCAAACCATCACAGGTATTCAGGGAGATGATGGAGAAGAATGGGGGAAGAAGAATGAACTAAATGAAATATGTATCAAAACCCCATATAGAAGCTTATTACTTCGTAACCTAATTTTACAAATTAAAATTAAAAAGAAGAAAAGAATGGAAGGGGAAGAAAGGAAGGGATGGGAGGAAAAAGGAAGGGAAGAAGGAAGACATCTCCAATCCCTGAAGATTTTAAGGTTAAGTAGTTGGGTAAAATTCCGGCTCCCATAAGAATAAAAAACCTTACCTTCCTTGTGGTGAGCCACAGGCCGGGGAGCTGGTCTCTTTATATGGAAAGAGGGGGTCTTTGTGGGTCCAGAGACTGGTACAGGTCCATTGGTGGCCTTTGGAGTGGCCTTGGTCCCTCCATCCTGCAATCTAGACACCAACTTTCCAACGTCCACCTCAGGGCAGGGTTCCAACTGGCAGTCAGAAACAAGCCTGCTTGGGGATTTCCTTCCAGGGTCAGCTTCCCCACTTCTCTGCATGGGTAATTTGAGGTATTGTGGTAGCTTGGGGGGATCCAGGCTGCTTGTGATAGTACCATTGGGAGTTTGATGCTGAATTTCATCTGGGAAAAGTTGGAGCAAAGAGGGAAGATTAATGATGACTGTCAAAACCACCTAGATTTGATGCATACATATTAATTTTTTTAAATTCGTGCACTTTTTCAAAATTGTTATAATTATAACACAGAGTGACTATTTTCCATGAGAACAGTCTCCATCCTCTCCAATTCATGTGGAGTCACAGGTCTCACTCAAATAAGGAGTCAATTCAACATTTTCATATGACTTTTGCCACCACAATTCAGTAAACCACAGGAATAAAGCTGTTTTATTCAATGAGATAGGCAATTTTTAAAAAACTTACACTCGCCAATCAATTATATAATTTATTCTTCTTAAATAAATTCATCTGCTACTTCTCAAATATTTCTCTCCAAAGCAATTTTTTAATTTTTTAAAAACTTTTACAAATACTTCATTGAGAATTTCATACATGAATATAAGGCGTTTTGATCAAATCCATGCCCATTCCCTCCCCTCCAATATCTGGGCTAAACGTCAAAATGTCCTTGGGCCTGTCAGCAACACACTCTGTTCCAAAGGCCAAAAATGTCAAAATGTCAAAAGTATTTGGGAGCTTGTATCTAATCCTTAAAAGATTTTAGGGTTACCTCTTCAAAGCAATTTTTTAAGCTTCTCAAATTTCAAGTTAATAAACCCTCTCCATCCATATAAAGGTACCACTTTACATGCTTCTCCTAGCCTTTATGCTCTATAATTTCTTTTGGCCATTTGAACACACTTTCAGTAATTCTTAATCTTACTTAAAGCTTCTGAAACCATGAAAATGTACAGAAAATTTTTCCTAGAAAAATCAGACTACAAATATGCAATTCAAATTTGAAACCTAATTTTAAATTGAGTCCCCAGAAATAGTCAATAAATACCCAGGATTAACAATAACTACTTGCATGGAAATTGTCATCTTCCTTAATAGTAGGAAACTTGGGGCTGGAGATATAGTTCAGTCATATAGCATATACACAGAATATATGAGGCCTTGGGTTCCATCTCCAGGACCACAAAAAGAGATAATAAAAATAAACATGCAAATAATGCTAGATTAGAATTTGGTAGTTAAGAATATAGGTTCTGGGGCTGGAGAGATGGCTCAGCAGTTAAGAGCACCAACTGCTCTTCCAAAGGACCCAAGTTCAATTCCCAGGACCCACATGGTGGCTACGAACTGTACTTAACTCCAGTCCCAGGGGAATCCGAAGCCCTCTTCTGACCTCTGTGGCATTATACGACCCGGATGCACTCACATACACGCAGGCAATACACTCATACACATAAAATTAAAAATAATAAATAAAATATTAAAAAAAAGAATATAGGTTCTGTCCTGCTGGATGAGATGTGAAACATGTATCAACCAACTGTAACACACAGACCTTATTTGGACCCAATGGTATTTTTTAAACAAAATAATGGGAGAATTTGATCACTGTCTGAATTATTACTATAATTATGGTTTTACTTTTAAGAGTCCATCATTTAGAGCTACTTGCTGAAACCTGGTTGGGGAATGGGTAGAAGGTATAGATGAATCAAAGTTATTCAGACAAAGAATAGCTCAGATGTTTG